GTGTGGAAGACGGCCGTGTGGTCTGGAAAGCCATTCTATATAGTATATATATATATATAGATTCGAGACTAGGGATATGCTATTGTACAGTGGTTTTCATCTGGTGATAGACAGAGTAAGTAGTAGTCTACTATAGGCCGGGTTCTCAGACACAAGAACTGATGTCAAGGCAGATAGATAAGCACTATACCCAAACAGGAACTAGCGGACGTCAGCTTTCGTACAACAACTGAAAATTGAAACTGCACCACGCCACTTCTCATCCACTGCAACCAGTGTTCAAGATCCAGTTCTTCATGTCGAGATGGGCTCCAAAACATATGAAGGCGAGGGCCAGCGAGGCGGTAGTACGAACCAACCCTATCCCACGATCTTAGTAAGAGTTGTGCTTATTTATTCCTTGTAGATGATCCGTCCAACTCAATCAGTTCCAATTCCGCTGGCGGAGAGCCGCGAGGCGCTCATTTGTCCCGGGACGGCGACGGCAGTTTGGGGGATGGCGATGGGGACGACGGTGCCGATGGAGACGATAAGGCTGGCGCCGTTGCCGCCGCCTCACTGACCGAACAACAAGCTTCGTCGGAAACGACCAGCAAGAAGAAGAAACGAAGAAAGCCCAAGAAGAAAGCCTCGGCGTTAAGGCAGTCCTCGCCGCCACGGGTCCCGTTGAGTGACCTTTTCCCCACGGGCCAGTTCCCGGTCGGCGAGATCCACGAGTATGGCCCCGAGGGCACGGCTCGCACAACGGCCGAGGAAGCCCGATACCTGTCTCGGAACCATCTTCAGGATGACAGTGTCCTCAACGAGTATCGCAAAGCAGCAGAGATACATCGTCAGGTGCGACACTGGACTCGGGAGAACGTTCGGCCTGGCCAGACGCTCACGGAGATTGCCGTGGGCATTGAGGATGGCGTGAGAGCGCTCCTGGACAATGCTGGCCTTGAGACTGGGCAGTGTCTCCAGTCCGGATTGGGATTCCCCACGGGGCTCGCGTTGAACGATTGTGTTGCGCATTACACGCCTAACCCGGGCCAAAAGGACATCGTCTTGCAAGCAAGCGATGTGATGAAGGTGGACTTTGGGGTCCATATCAATGGCTGGATAGTTGACAGTGCGTTTACAATGTCGTTTGACCCAACTTACGACAACCTACTTGCCGCCGTGAAGGATGCTACGAACACCGGTATCAAGGTAGGAAAGAGCCCAGGTATCTCACAGGTTAGGGCGCAGCTAACGCTTTTTAGAATGCCGGAGTCGATGTCCGTATCAGCGATGTCAGTGCTGCCATCCAGGAGGCGATGGAAAGCTATGAGGTTGAAATCGGCGGCAAAGTGTACCCTGTGAAACCGGTGCGAGATCTTAGCGGGCATGATATCAAACGCTATCAGATTCACGGTGGGAAGTCAATTCCATTTGTGAAAAATTCCAGCCAAACAAAGATGGAAGAGGGGGAGATTTTTGCCATCGAAACATTTGGCTCCACGGGCCGTGGCTCTACAGTGGAAGGCGTACGTTTCCCCTTGCTTGCTTGATATAGGTTTACGTGCTCACGAACATGCTAGTTTGGCGTCTATGGGTATGGAAAAGACCCGAACGCACCGAAGAGGGTGACATCCCCTCTCGCCTCGGCCAGATCTCTGTACAAGACGATCAATGAAAACTTCGGCTCGATTGTCTTCTGTCGCCGTTACCTTGAACGGCTTGGAGTTGAGCGCTACTTGGCCGGTGTACGTATTTATCAGCCTGTCCATCGGAAAGTGTGCTAATCCGGGAACAGATGAACAGTCTTGTAAACAATGGTATTGTAGAGCAATACGCGCCTCTTATGGATGTGAAGGGATCATACTCGGCACAGTTTGAACATGTGAGTAAGATCTTATACTGCTATGCGGAACCAGAGCTAATCGTGCTTTTGCAGACTATCTTGTTGCGAGAGTCGTGCAAGGAAGTGATCAGCCGTGGAAATGACTATTGACATCTTTTGCGTGCAACATCCGTGGTATAGGGAGCTGCTCCCTTGGAATCATTACTATGCTTGACGCCATCCAACATGGCCCATGCTCGACCCTCGTTTTGCAATCTAGTTTTCTGGCCATTCAACATGGTACATTGTGCCGATTAGATAGTTCTAGTAGGACATTTGCTATTGACAATGTTTACGTTCTGCTCTTCCTCATATATTATCCCATGAATCATGTAGAAAATCAATCCATCCTCCGAAACCAGATCAACTCCCCATCCATCGTCGGCTCCAGATCGACACCAACTTCTCTCACGCCCTCCGGACCAAGTCTGAACTCGGCGCGCACAACCTCATAATCGCGAGGATCCTTGTACCTCTCCTGCAACCTCGCCAACCAAAACTCCCCACTGACATGCTCCATCGCAACCATCATGCTAAACTCCTGACTCCGGCGATCAGCAACGAGCGCCTTCCCCCCAACATCAAGCACCAAATCCATCGCCCCATACCCAGGATGCCAATAACCCCCCGTATACTCCCACACCTCCAACGCCGGCCTCAAAACAGGACAAGGCAAGACCGGGTAAATCCGTTCCCTCGCAGAAGCCAACTCCCGCCGCCGCCTCTCCATCTTCTCCCTAATAACCACTCCCCAATCCACGCGCTCCCCCAGCGGCGTGCCCAGCAACCCATCCAACAAATACATATACAAAACCTGCTGCATCTGGTTACTCGTCACCGTCGAATTGCCCATGACAACCAACCCCCAGTCCCGCCCAGGCAGAAACATCATCACAGACCCAAACCCCCCAATACTCCCCGTGTGCCACACAATCGTCTGCCCCCGGTAGGAATCCACCCGCCACCCGAGCGCGTACAGATGCGGCCCCGGGAACAGATTCGTCGCTCCAGTCATGGACACCACCCGCGGCGACACAAGCGCCGCATGTCCGGCCCGGCTTAACGGCCCGCTCTGGGCCATCATGCACCGCAGCCACTTCGCATAGTCCACTACGTTGCTGATCATGCATCCGGCGCCCGATAACTCCGTATACTCGGGGTGGTCTATCTCGACGAACCCTGGGGAAGAAGGAGAAGAAGAAGAAGAAGAAGAAGAAGA